ACTGGCTATAAATGGTACAAACTATTGGGTGTTTTAAATTTATCTGTACTTTTTGGTATAGTGCTGGCAATAGTGACGAAAGAAGTCTTGAATTCAGCTATGACAGTGTTTTCAAAGAGTCTTAGTTGCACTACGGAGACCGATATCCACTTCTTATAGTGCCGTCTTCCTGTAAAGGTTCCGAAACATGATGGCGATCTCCTGCACTTTTGTAACCACTGCTGGGAAGATAAAACAACCACTTTTTACTATTTATGTCATGAGTCCCATGTAATAGAGTCTATTCCTATATACCGGGCCCAATCCGGCACAGACACCGTGATACTAATGACATTTTTTTGTTAAACCCAGTAATACTTTGCCCGACCCGGGAATCCAACCCGAAACCCCTTGTCCGGTAGTCACTTGCGACCACTCGACCAACGAGGCCATAAAGATGCATCTAGTCACTTTTTAACTTGCGATTAATTACGTAACTTGCTAATTACAATAGATGTCATATAGAGGTATTAAAGTACAGTAAAACAGTAAGTACATAATGGTTTTTTTTGTCCAACTCCTCAGGAACTGCGGAGAACTTAATTTAAATATGTACAGTATACTGTTATAAACATAAACCCTTGCGTACGGCGCGTCGCGTTCTGCGCGCGCCTCACAGAGCCATCAGACCACCACGGATGGGGCCCAATAGGGCCGATGCCGATTCGGAGTCGCGGAGAACCTAACGGGTAACCGGGGCTCCGGCTCGAAGTGCAGGAGTAGGAACGGTGTGGTTTTTAGTCAGTAAGAGTCTGACACTCCCTCCCGCTTCACCCAGGCGGGAGAAGTCAATCGATGATTTTCCCCCCTTAAAAAAACCCTTAATAATAAATATTATATACATTTCATATAAATATAGGGTAAAATCAAAGTTTGACTAGACTAGTAGTATTATTATTTGATCTCATTCAATCATTGGATCCTAAATACATATGAAAAGGTAAATTGGAAGGCTTCAATAAATTCAAATAGGTATTCATTTTGCTCCGAATCCAATTTTTGTATATCTTATGCATAAGTACAATATAATATACCTATGTATATGCATAAAGTTTTGACTGAAACTGTATAATCCTTACTAATATTATAAATGGGAAAGTGAGTTTGTTTGTTTGTTTGTTTGTTCCGCTTTCACGCTGTAACTACTAAACCGATTGCTTTGCATTTTTGCAGACGTAAGTTAGAAGTCTGGATTAAATAATAGGGTACTTTTTATCCCAGAAAAAATTTATATTCTCGAGGGAAAACGAAATTATTGGTATACATGGCGCTGTGTGTATTGGTATATATCACATAGGCTACTTTTTATCCTTTTGTGACGCGAGCGAAGCCACGGGTAAAAGCTAGTATTACATATATTGGTAAGAAAACGTAATCTGATGAATAAATCAAATTAATTTGCTTATATCTAACTTTTCTAATAAATAATTGCGGTGTGCAAACATAGAGGTCACGATAGGATATATTTTTGTTTTTCTAATTTAACATTCGTTTACTATGTATGTATAATGTTCATTATGTTATTTTCTAAAACATAATATATGAGACTGCCTCGTTAGCCGAGTGGTCGCAATTGCGACTGTAGGGCAAGGGGTCTCAGGTTCGATTCCCGGTACGTGCAAAGTATTACTGGTTTTTTTTTTAAATTTTGAGTAGTAGCACGGAACCTGGAAATGTGCCCGATATATGGCAATAGGCTCACCCCCTATTACATGGGACTCATAACATAAATAGTAAAAAGTGAGTGTTACATTGTACAGTAGTATAATGTGCACCTCTGCCTACCCCTTCGAGGATAAAAGGCGAGATGTTATGTTATAATATATAAGAATGACGGATTAGTTCGTGTTAAAAAAATGTGTTAATTTGAGATACAATCAAAGCAATGAAGTAATATTATCACATCATAAATTATTATGTTTTCGGTTTACTCACGTTGTAATATGAGCCATGCCAGCCAATATGAGCCTCTAGCATGGCTTGAAACTAGTCGAGTTCCTCGTCGAATTACAACGTGAGTAAGCCGAAAACAGTAATTTATTTAGTATGTCTCACGAAAGTTACAGTACAATTATCACATCATCCCATTCATCTGAAAATCAGCGTTAGGCATGTACGCTCAACTTAATGCTAAGATGGAGGCTCTTTTGGCAAGAGCGCGCGCTATTAAATGTTATTTATGTCTTATTTTATTAATTTTTAATTACTGTGTTATTATTGTATTGTCACTGTTTTATTATACTCTGTTGTTTCTTTGTTTTTTTGGTATATCATTATTTTTCTGTATTACTTATATAAGTATCTGTATTAATTTCTTCTTTTCTTTTTAATTTTGTATTATTTTTGTATCTGTGTACGTGCCTACTGTCGAATAAATGCTTTTTCTTTCTTTTTATATTAAAAAAAATTGTTATCGAAGCCTTGCAATAAATCCCCAGCATAAACTGACTTACGTCCGAAAATTGATTACATACTCACCAAATACCAGTCTCTTTTTATGCCAGCCTAGTTATCGTTTTTCAAAGTCTACACTGATCGATCTAGAACATGGTCGACAGCTCATTCGTTCGCACAAATATCGCATTACATATAATTTATCATGGTGTTTGAAGATAGTCGATACCCTGCTTTTAGCATCAGTAATCAGGAATAGGACACGTGTTTTATAGGTATTACACCTATTCATTACATTAACTATTATATTCTACTTGTCGTGGTTACCTGGAGGTTTAAGACGCCCACTTATCATGCATGAGGGTGCGGGTTCGTAACCTACCAACAACCAATACTTTTCCGAGTTATATGTACTTTCTAAGATTATTCAGACACCACTGACAAACGGTAAAGGAAAACATCGTGAGGAAACCTGGGCTTGTAATTTCTAATTATAAGTTTGAAATCACCAACCTGCATTGAGCAAGCGTGGTGATTAATGCTCAAACCTTCTCTGTGTGAAAAGAGGTTTTGCTCAGCAGTGGGCATTTATAGGCTGTTGATGATGATGACACCTATTCATACACTTTTTTGCATATGGTTGTTAATTTGTTTGTATAAGGTCTTGATGTCCTTCAAAATAACACATCAGTTACACTCGAATACTGAAATGCTACCCAATTAAAATTATTTAATCAAATATCGTGCCATCTCTGTCATTTAACAAAGAATTTGTAGTGATACAATTATACTTAAGCGCGACTTAAAACTGAGTACCGTTTGAGTATTTCAGCGTTAGATAGGTGAAATAGGAATGTTTTGTTATCCGATTTTCTTTTACTTTGACTTAGAGTCCCAACAGAAAATAATGTACAATATATATATGGTAAAAGATGTAAGAACTGGTGTGGTAAATATATTATCTAGTATGAGAATAAGTCAATCGACTAAAGCCTTAAGCTATAAATAACCTGACGCCTTAAAGACGGGTTAGCATTGAGCAAGTTCGTTGAACACCAGTCAATAGGCTGTACTAAGATACTTAGATTGACGTTTATTTGTTTGTGTACCAATTGTCAGATTTGTTATTTTAAAATTGCCAATAGTTTGGAACAAAGTCTTTTCAAAGTCTGATAATGACATTAATTTTATCATCAACAAACAGTGAGTTGGTAATTCAGAGAAGTAAACTAATATATTTTAATAACTGTCCTTACAATTACGTGTGACTCCTTCCATTTATGATGGTTGTGTGTACTCTATGTATTGTAAGATGGACTATATTTTTTTATTTATATAAGTACAGATACAGACGACAGATTGAAATCGTACACAACAACCTTAATTAAAATAGTGAGCGAACCTGAAGTCCAATTACAGCTGTACATAATCCATTTATATCAAATTACATAAACATATGTATTGTAAGACCAAAACTAGTTGCTATCGAGTAGAAAGAACTTTGATCACATTACATTTATAAAAATCTAAGTACAAAAATAGGCTATTAATTTTATCTAAAAACACAGGGACATAAACAACTCTTAAGAGCAGTTTTCCACAAGACTAGATTTCGATTGCCTTCGTTTCGAGGGAAGCGTTCGCGCCTAAGGCTCTCTCTCAGAATCTTGTACGCCGTCAACTACATTCGTCTAAATGAAAAGGCTTAAATAAAAATCCGAATGAGACTGGTTCTGAATAGACAAGCTGACGTGAACGTGTTCCTAAGAGTTCGTATGAAAAGGGGAAAGGAAACTGGAAAACACGAGGGTTATGTATAGAAGGCGTTTTCCGGAAGTTTGAATGGTACCAAACTGAGCGTGGCACCAAATTATGTTTCGTGTTATCAACATATTGAGTGTAGGGATTACTTTCTGAAGAATTTTGTTATCAATACGTTTTGATGTATATTTTCTTTTTTAACTCTGTAAAATAATTTATACCATATATTGTTGTTGTTGCTAAAAATGCTAATGTTAAAGATAAAACTGTCATTAAAATGAGTATAATTGACTTAAATAAATAAAATAATACAATTTATTTTAAAAATGGTCTTTTATTTAAATCAACTTTAACCTCAAAAACAATCTTTATCTATATCTATTTATAATTTTAACTACAATTTTTACATCGTCTTAAATTGCCAGTTGATTATCAATCACGATTGACAATTGCTTTCAATCATCAATCAATCAATCTATCGTATAACAATCAGTTGTAATCGGTTGATTGATAATCACTTGGTTTTTATTATTAGAGTTATGAATTTAAATATTAGAAACGTGAGTGGTTTGAAATGTAGTATTTATTCTAGCAATTTTATAAGTTTACCCTGATATTTAGGATATTTTCTATGCGACATTGGCACAGATGATTTCCTTCAGGCTTGTGTTTAATCCTGATTGATTGTGTTATAAAGTATTGTAATACAAAACAATTTTTTTTTCAAATAACGTTGCCCCACACTACGATTTTCTCCTGTGTCGTGGGTGCGTTTACAAACATACAAATTCACGTTAAGTGTTGTTCCGTACGGGAATCGAACCCGCGCCGCGGCACGCTGCACAGCAGCCGGTTGCCCAGCCACCGTACCAATTGTACGGTCAGTTCATAAACTTGTTTGTATAACCATATTCAATAAAATGTATGAGCAAACAAAAATAGAAATAATAAAAGTAAATAGGTACATTAAACTAGTTTTCATGTTCAATTGTTCATATCAAGACCTGACAGCACAAAATTGAATTTAACGAGGCAAAATTATAGCAATTCAAAGGCTCAAAAACATCGCTTAGATAAACACAACCTTTTTATTTAAGCTTACAAAAGTTGTGAGCAAAATATCGTCCGTCAAAAATAATGGAACGTAAAAATTCGCATCAGCGACTAACCCCAGTTTTTCAAAACGATTGACGTTTGGTTAACAACTGACAATCAGGATCAACGGGCTTCGAACTTTGAAATATTTTTACAACACTATTATTTTTACAAACGGTCCTTCCACTGTGTAAAATTTGTTCTACATTTGATTGATCAATCAGATACCACAGAACAATCATTATCACTCGTATGTACACATCACTTTTTAAAGTTTTTCACATTCTCACTTTTTAACACAGTCCTTGAAAATATTCGTATGTTATTTACACTATGAGATAGTATATAACACTTGCAATGCTTATTAAAGTTTGTAGATCGAAACTGCTCGCCCACTGTGCACTTCCCTGCATCGCTGCTGGAGTTTCGCCTGTGAAAAGAAATGATATGATTAAAAAAATTTGTTCCTATTTGCTTAAGTTAGTATGCTCACATGTTATGTATGAATACACCGCTGTAAGTTGATATTCATAAAGTAAGGAGACACAATTTATTTACTTTTAATAGGTAAAAGAAAATTTAATTTAGAGATTTTGATATCTGTAATGAAGGTGCATTTCAAAGAAATTTTGATTTCTAGTTCAGTAACAGCGGTTTTGTGATTGTGTGATCTCAGCCCCAGATAACATGCCTACTTTTGTATTTGTTTTTTTGGCATCTTCTAGAAGTATCGTCGTCGTGGCCCGGAGGATAAGACGCCTGGTTCTGATGTTTGAGGGTGGGGGTTCAAAACTTACCAAAGGCAAGGCAACCAATATGAAAATTTCCGAGTTATATGTACTTTCTAAGATTATTTATATACCACTGACAAACCGTGAAGGAAAACATCTTGAAGAAACCTTAACTTATAATTTCTAATTTTAAGTTTGAAATCGCCAACCCACAATGAGCAAGCTTGGTGATTAATTCTCAAACCTTCACTGCGTGAGAAGAGGCTTAGCTCAGCAGTGAGCACTTCTAAGCTGTTGACGATGATGATCTTATGGAAACTCTTAACTATAATTCAACTCTATGTCATTGGATTTAATACCATAAAAACCGTAAAATAAGCTCCATTATGCTTATTGTAACATTAGTCAGCAGTTGTAGATTTTCTTTAACAAATATGGTAACACATATTTTATTGTAGTTTACTGTACTAAATAACTCTAGATCGTTTATCTTAGTTATAAACATGGGTTCAGTTTACGACCCATGTTCCGTTTTGCAATAAAAACGTGTTTTTACATGTTGTTAATTATGTTTAATAAGTCATAATAAATATGTTTTAGTGGTTTTGTCGTAAAATGTAGGTACATATTAAATTAAAATACTATTAAATAAGAATGTGTTATTATGATAATACTACTTAAACTGTCAAACACCAAGCGGTCACCGGTGACCGCAACCTATTGTTCTATAATTGTGTCTACAAAGACGGTACTCAACAAGTTAATGTAATCACTGTATAGTATAAAACAAAGTCGCTATCCGCCGTCTGTCTGTCCCTATGTAAGCTTAGATCTTTAAAACTACAGAAAAGTTTTTTTTTAATAGATAGAATGATACTTAAGGACGTTTATATGTATTATACATGCATATTGCACGCGTGCGAAGCCGGGGCAGGTCGATAGTAAAATATAAATTATTGTATTTACTTTAAAAATTTTCAAAGATAATATACAATACACTCCAATAAACAATGTATCTTGTTATCAGAGCATAATCTAGAGACGGCACGGTTGGCGTGGTGGCTGGACCACCGGCTGCCTCGCAACGTGAGGGGGGTTCAATTCCCGCACGGAGCAACTCTTTGTGTGATAACAAATTGTTATTCAGGGTCTAGTTGTCATGTGTATGTGAACTTGTATGTTTGTAAACGCACCCACGAAACAGAACAAAATACGAGCGTAAAAAAAATGTCATATATGGTCAAAGAATAATCTATTTCTATTTCCTAAAAATAAAAAATTACAATAATTAATAAGCGTGACTAAAAAATAGAACAAACTCAAAAACACGAAAGCTTCTTCAAACAAAAGGTATTGGCCAATGAACGGCTAGTTCATATCAAAGAGCCGTAACGTTTATTTTTTACAAAGGCCTTTAATAAATCTAAGAAACGCTTGCTAAGTAAGAATTATACCCTCACTCAATCACCTGTCTTCTGCGACTGGCTATTGATGATAATGGTACTTAGGCTCAAAAAATCCTCCCTAATGTTTTTCTTATAAGGAAATACGAAGGTATATCAAGGAAGTTAGAATTAGACGATCGAGTACTTTTTTACTGTCGATATGGACTATCGATTTTGCAGTAGGTATTAGGTTGCGAACTGATTTGCATTGTTTTTTTTTTTTGTGAAGTGTGATGCGGTGGACAGGATTATTATACATTACATTATGCAAGTAAAAGTTTTGTGAAATGTTATTATAGTATATTTTCCTCTTTAGACGCTCGGTTTCCTCATGAAAGATTGTAGTGTTTGTATCGTACATTTGGATGTCAAATATAACAATAATCACAGAAGCCAACCAAACATACATAGATAAGTTAAAGGCCCTTCAAAATAAAATCTTCGTGTTGAAAATACTAAAAACACTACCTCGTTCCCAGTTAATAAAAGAAAAAATAACTCAAGCCTAATAATAGAAATAGTCAGAATAAGAGAAAATAATTATTAAAGCTAAAATAATTATAATTATCGCGCGATACGACAATATTTGTTTTATTTTATGACTCATTCTCACGAATCGCCGTTAAAATAAAGCTGCGTATTCAATGGATGAATGAATGTATGAATAATCGTATTATTTTATTTGTTGCTTGCACTTTAAAATTTAGTTGCTTGTGATTTTGATAAATAAAAAGTAGAAAAAAACAAATAACCATTTTGTCACAAAGGTAAGAATTTTTTTCAGAAGTGACCATTAAATGCATAAATTTTATTTTTTGCCTCAAATTAGTTGAAAACAAATAACGACAAACATTAACTTTTATTTTGTCAAACAGTATAATACTTGAAAGTCTTATTATGTTTTTCATGTGTATGTGTACATGTGTATGTGATGTGTAAACATAAAATTATGTGAAGAAAATGCTGTAAATGTTTTTTCCAATCACTTTTTTTACTGACGTGGTACGTTCAACTTACAACGCGAACATTTTAAGTCGTGTAGTGGATATACAGCTTTATACTTTCGGTGTTAATTGAAATTAGAACCATTAGTAATATTATCACATAATTTAATCCAAAAATAGCCTTGATAATATTCGCGTCAACGTGAAATATTCTTATTTGAAATAATTACACGGATTTTAGGGAAAAGTGGGAAATACCTTTCGTTGAAAATATTTTGTTTGTGTTACACAACCACAGAAATTTATTTAAATTACATTGAATTTTCCGATTATTTTTGAGTCGATCTGGTACAATTGATAGGCCATATCAATGGGGATACCACATCCTTGGTTTATATTAATATTTGACTGTATGGTTATTGCAGTGGCTGGGCAAGTGGCTACCACGTAACGTCGCGGATTCGATTTCCACACGGAACAACCATTGTGTGATCCACAAATTGTTATTCACAGAAGAAAATACCAGTGTGGGGCAAGGTTTAAAAAATATAGATAATATATAATAAAAATTTTAATACATAATTCGAACACATTTCCGACAGTGTAAGGCTCAGCAAAGAATAAGAATAAAAAAGGTTATTTACTTTAATATATTTTGAATAAACCGTATAGCTATTCAAAAAATCACAAATGTACAATGAATAAATTCATTTACGTTACATTTTGTACGTACATAGCACGTACGATCGGAATTCGGCACATGTTCAAAGAGTATTCGTGTTACATTTATTTTTCAAAATAGCACGCTCCGTAATTGTGACAAAAGCGTTGTATGTGCTTTTTATTGCGATCAAAATGGAATGCAATGTATGTTACAATATTTTTGTTTTTATTTAAATCTGCTGTCAGTGTTATCTTTAATGTTTTTTGAAGGGATTTTCGTAATATTATAATTACTTGAGATCTTTGCTTTTTATGGAATAGGAGGCATACGAGGATACGGATCACCTGATAGTAATCGATCAGCGCTACCCATGGACTATCGCAATACCAGAGTAGTTACAGGTGCATTGCCGGCCTTTTAAAAAGGAGTACGCTCTTATTTTGAAGCTTTGAAATGTCGTATTGGTTCGGATATACTGCCGACGACATTATGATGGTATGATGTTTCTATGATTACGTATATAGGAAGAGTTGTGCATATACAGCGTTATACTACTTATTATGTTATAAGTCTCATGCAATAGAGGGTTTTCTTTGAAGAAGTAAAATCATCCAATGACTTCTTCCACCCGGGTGAAGCGAAAGAGAGTATTAGACTGTTACTGACTAAAAACCACCCCGTTCATACACCTGCTCTTCGAGCCGGAGCCCCGACAACCCGCTAGTGACTCACTCAATTAACAAGGTAAAATTATGGTACAAGTGACACAAAATATGGTTTTCAATTCTGTAGGCGTCTTGGACCATTTTATATAAAAACATAAATTGAGCGTACAGCACACTTTCATTCGTAATAATAAAAAATAACAGCAACATTTTATTTTATTTTAATAGCGTCATAAAACAATTCTTTAGGGAGTTTCGAGCATTTTTTGCGACCAACCGCTGGTCGGTTAGAGCGTTCCCGTGTTATGAACTTTGTATTTCATAAAACATCATAGTACTTTACTGTTGAGGGCTTCCCATAGGAAGCCTGACTAGAGTCATACTCGAGTGACATAGTTTTTCATTTAATTTCAGTTACTATTGGATATATACATATATGTAGTTCTCAGGGTTTGGAAGATGTTCGAAATGAATACATTTTAAATCAGTAAACTAATAGCAATCTAAAACGTTTTGTTTATTTATTTTTGCTGTCGTGAAAAATCATAACATTTAAATACACAAGGGTGTACTTCTTTGATTGATTAATGCAAAAGACACATTATTGTAATCTAGATAAAGATTAAATTACCGAATTACATACAAAGCTCTTATTGACTAATATAGTTACAAAAATTAAAAACTAACTTTCACGGCAATTTGCACGTTCGCTTAATTATCCTGTTAAGCAAGTACATAAACCAGTTCATGATTCAAATGCGTGACGGTACGGAAACGTTCTAGTTTTGGATCGCGAGGAAAATTCAACAAATGCACGAGTTGCTAAACGGTGAGAGAGTACAATGGCTGTTGCATGCTAAACGAAGCACGAAACTAGTACCTTTGGAAATGGTTTGAAAAGCGTGTTTGTTATTATATAGCTTTTGTGCCTCTTTGTAAACGCGGGTTATATGGAATAAGTGTCAATAGGACAGTTTACGTATTTTGCTAATGTTAGTTTACTTTATTAAATGATGTTACTATATTTTATTGCTAACTAGCTTTTATCCGCGGCTTCGCTTGCGTCACAAAAGGATAAAAAGCATATGTGACATATTATACCAATACACACAGCGCCATCTATACCAATTATTTCGTTTTCCCTCGACAATATCAAATTTTGCCGGGATAAAAAGTACCCTATTATTTAATCCAGACTTCTTACTTTACGTCTGCAAATTCAAAGCAATCGGTTTAATAGTTACGGCGTGAAAGCGGAACAAACAAACAAACTCACTTTCCGATTTATAATATTAGTAAGGATAATTGTAATTTAAAATTTACTAAGATAAAACAAAACTAAGGTAAGTAAGGCTATTGCTTCGGACAGTAAATAAGCATTGCCATCTGGATACGTTCGCCAGTGACAGTGATGTGGATGATTTCTTTGACGCCTACCTGTTTTCGCTGTTTTAGCCGTCTTGCAATAAAAAAAGTTAAGTAAGATACCTAGGTAAGTTTTATAATTTGTATAAAAGCATGTCAACAACACTTACAATAGTGTACCAATATTACAACAATAATCTTGCCAACAAGTTATTACTGTCTTGTTCAGTTTAAGGAATATAATAGTAGTAATTAAAAATAAAATAAAATAAATAAATGTTTATTTGCCATAATTTGTGCAGTAACACTTATATATAACATTAATCGTTACAACATCATATAAAAAGTGAGTACTTAAGATGAAACTATGGTACCCAAGGTAAGATCAAACTTGTGTTATGGGTACCACCATTGTCCTTCTACGTTTTAAGTATTAATAAACAATTGCAACTATCACTTTTCAATGTCGTGTTAATTTAAAATAATTTAATTAGCAATTATTTATGGTAAAAATACACGTTGGCTCACTTTTCCTTTCATGGGACTCATAAAACAGTATGAAATGGCGGAAAACAGGCTAGCGTTTAATATATGCATCTCTGACTACCCTTTTGGGAATAAATGATAAATGTTCAGCCAGGAATAATAAAAGCAAAGGGGCCAGGAACCTGTTTACTCCATTAAAATTCAAAACAAAAATATTTAAATTCAAAATTTTAACGAAAACTTGGCTACGGGTGTATTGGCATCGGCCCTATCTTGGGTGAATCTTCATATAAGAAAATAAAGTAGAATTTAGTATGCAATGCGCATGTTGTAATGATGTTTTAAACAGCGTTAAAGGTACCTAGTGAAACTTACTATCGTTAAAATTTAAAATTTGTAATATGTTTAAGTAGAGAATTCAAAACTCATCGGTATACTTCTAAATTATACTCCTGATATCTCATGATAAGAGCCTCGATCAATTTTCTTTGTTCATAGTTTTAAATAAGAGTATCTATGAACAATTGATCAATCATGTTCGTTGCGTTTTATAGTCAAAGTCAAAATTATTTATTGTAATTTGATCAGGAAGGCATTTTTGAAGACCAAAAACCGAATGTCCAACTTAATATAATTAAAATTGGGTACTTGCCTTTATTAAAAATAATTAATTTCAACTGTTCAATACAACAAAATGTTAAAAAATAATCACACATTCATGAATTGATTTCATTACCAACTTAATTTTAATAATTTTCTAGCAAATTTTTAAGAAATAACTATGCTGTTTGAGGCTAAAAAAACGTGACGTCACAAAGTCAAAGTCAAAGTCAAAGTATTTATTCGTGTGCTTTTTGGTGATACAAAAGGGTCTTAAAATTATTATTATAGTAGCGCAAAAAGCTGCCCATTAGGCATACACTATTTAAAGTATAAAAATATTCATAACATTCAAAATTGTAACAAAAATAAATAATAAAATGTCAAAAATTAGTCACAATATAAATTATAAATTATAACAGGCATTAAATAAACAATCAATAGCAAAAATGTCAAAAATTTTGCAACAAAATAAATTAATACAAGCACTAAATAAACAATAAGTTACCCAAGTTTTCATAATTAATTATACACATAGTTGTCAGTTTATTACATTTTGTCATGAAAGAAATCGTCAATGGTATAATAGCATTTATCAATTAGAAAATTGTTAAGTTTCCGTTTAAATTGTGTTAAATTCAGATTCTTGATAGTATTTGGGATTTTATTATATATTTTAGGTGCCATGCAAAGGATACTTTTGTGCTTAAGGGCTGTCTTTGAGGCTCTCAGACATAATTCGTGTCGACGTTCTGATCTTGTCGATCTATGACGGTCCTCAGAGGCTTTTTTAAACAAAGTACTATTTTTTCTGACGAACAGTGCAGTTTCGTATATGTAAAGGCAGGGTAAAGTTAGTATTCTAAGAGATTTAAAATGAGGTTCACAACTGTCCGTTACTTTCAAGCTACACATCGACCTAATGCACCTATACACAATCTCGTACAAGATTCATAGAAAACAGTCAATATTGATAGTTCGAAAAAAGTATTGAATTTGACTAGTTGGCAAATACCCAATTATATCTAACACAGTCACCTATAGTATCTAACCTCAAAATGCAAGTAATCAGAATGCAAGACCAACATGGAAACCACAGTCTCACTTATGTTCACCATTCCAAACACAGAGCGAACTAATGCTGTAATTTCGAGCGCAGTGCCGCCACCAAGTAATGAATACATTAGTCTGACGTCACAGACCAGAGCTGATGGTCCACGTCAGTGGTCTGTGAGATTGTATATCTGATGAGACTTGGACTTTATTTCGTTTACCAATAGTAGCTGTGTTGGGATAGTTGTAGCTACATTGAAAGGTACGGATATCTTTGTAAATACTTACATTGTTGCACTGCATACTACTGTATGCCTGAGATATTGGTTTCAGAACTTTTTAGATTAAAATATTTGAATAGTTGTATGGTGACTTGCTGTCACCGTTACCTATATTTTTTATGCTTGATAAACCGACGATTAGCCACTATCTTGCCTGGTGGTAAACAATGATGCGGCCTAATATAGAGCATATCTAAGATAAGCAACCTATTCATTCGGGCCTTAAAGACTTCCAGGTATGTATAATCATACCCTTCAAGAAACACAGACTCTGACTATGGCAAAATCCAATTAAAAGTATATATAATAACAAAGACTATGTAATAACGCTCTCTGATCAACCTGAAATTTTTGAACTATGACCTTGAATGCGCCCGCTACCTATCTTATGAGTAACAGTATCCATGACTGTTACTCATAAAATACAACAATTATTAGTTTCAGTAAAAGTATTCCTTATCCACTCACTACATACAAAAAGTCAGAACCAGCTTCAAACTAAACAAAAAAGGTGACAAACATAATAAAGCAAACGACAATTTACCTGAAATTTACAGCCAAAGTTACCCAAAGATGTTTGTAAACAATTAAAGTGATCGTCCGTTTATCCCAGCTAATTAAATCCACACCAATTCCATCTAGCGACAATGTCTGACGACTGTGTAACTAATTAGAACTACTAGACGTTCTGAGACGCCCGTTAATTAGAAAGACAGGACTGATTTATCGCCGTCTATCTGCACGGGACCGTAAGTTAAGTGATGCTTTTGTTTCGAGGTATTTTTTTTTCAAATTGTTTTATTTGGGACTGTTGCTATGACGGTACTTGTGATTTGATGTTATATAGACATGTTGTGGTGGCCGGAGGTTCAAGACGCCTCCTTCTCATGCATGAGGGCGCGGGTTTAAAACTTACCAATATAAGTACCAATGTGAATTTTTCCAAGTTATATGTACTTTCTAAGATTATTAGACACCACTGACAAACGGTGCAGGAAAACATCGTGAAGAAACCTGGGCTTATAATTTCTAATTATAAGTTTGAAAATGTCAACCCACATTGAGCAAGTGTGGTGATTAGTGCTCAAACCTTCACCTCGTGAGAAGAGGCCTTTGGAATAATACGGTGACATAGTTGTAATACGAGATTATTGTCTTAGTTCTTACGACTGACATTTTTAATGGAATGATGTCAAATGTGACTGCAAAACACGAGTTTTCAAGGTCAAGATTTCTAGGGCGGGCAATATATTACAGGACTTTCGTGTTTCGTCATAAAATTCAAAACATTACTTGTTATTTGTCAGTACTCTCAACCGTTAATGAGATTTCAAACACAAATGGCAATATCTGGATGTACGGTAACTGCATCCCTTCGGGCTAGACAAAAGCCCAAAGTTTCATACCCTTTAGGGATTGTGAGACGTAATTAATAGAAGTTTCCAGAACTTACCAGTGAGGACATGAACTCTCGCTGTCGCTGACTGAGCATTGTCCGGCGCGCACTGATACGTGCCGGCGTCTGTCGTCCGTGCTGACTGCACTAGTAGTCTACTACTACTGTGTATACCCTTCTCAGTTACTAAGGATATACCACCACGCGTCGAGTCGAAGTTTATTGTCTGTTGGAAAAGAAAAACTTCATTTAAAAATGTATTGTAGAACAATTAATTGAAGACAATATTTCTACCTCGTTGGCCGAGTGGTCGCAAGTATGACTGTCGGTCAAGGTCTTGGGTTCAATTCCCGGGTCGGGCAAAGTATTAACGGTTTTTAATAAAATCTCAGTAGTAACACGAAGTCTGGATTTGTGCCCGGTATTTTTGGCAATAGTTATAGGCTCATCCCCTATTACATGGGACTCATAACATAAGTAGTAAAAAGTGGGTGTTACTTGTACAGTGTCATTGAGTGCCGTAATGTGCCTATCCCTTCGGGGATAAGAAGCCGTATTGTTATGTTTTTTTTTTTTTTAAACGTTGCCGCGCACTAGGATTTTCTCCTGTGTCGTGGGTGCGTTTACAAACATACAAGTTCACATACACAATGACACCCAGACCCGAAACAACAATTTGTGGATCACACAAAGTGTTGTCCCGTGCGGGAATCGAACCCGCGACACGTTGCACGGCAGCCGGTTGCCCAGCCACCGCACCAACCGTGCAGTTTATGTTAGAATATTATTTAAAAACTCATAATATCAGTTCCACTTATATAATTGTCAATCACTGCCAGGACAAGTGGAATGTTACTTAATTCTTGGTAACACCATAAGCCTAATTTTAGAAATAATATTAGCGGTTCTCTTGTAAAAGGATTTTAAGAAGTGACCTTGAAATTTATTTATTGAACTACACAGGTTAATATAAAAAAATGAAAAACTATTTTACAGAAAAGTATACACCGTACAAACAACAAAGTATTAGCAGAAGAAGTAAATCGATTTTACGATTGCAATTGCAACCATCCTTCATAAAACTGGGATTAAATGGCAACTGTGTAACTACAATTTATGTTACTCGTTAAAATCATGATGTAAACTTGTGACCTATTTGTGGGAAAGTACTTTTGTTGGTCGACTCTGGTTCTAGTTCAGTAGAGAAATTGTTCACATCAATATAACATAACATAACATCACGCCTTTTATCCCGAAGGTGTAGGCAGAGGTGCACATTATGCCACTGTACAATGTAACACTCACTTTTCACTATTTATGTTACGAGTCCCATGTAATAAGGGGTGAGCCTATTGCCATATACCGGGCACAATTCCAGACTCCGTGCTACTACTGAGATTTTTTTAAAAACCCAGTAATACTTTGACGGACCCGGGAATCGAACCCGAGACCCCTTGCTCGGCAGTCGCACTTGCGACCACTCGGCCAACGAGACAGTCCACAGTTGTTCACATCAATAAACTGAAAATTGATGTAAATACATACGAAATAAGTATAATATTATTGCATTTAAACCCAATAAAGTAGGCATACTGCACTGTTTTTCATATGTTCAAACTATATTAAACTTGTAGTATGTGTTTACTATGAAGGGCACACCTATGCTTTTAGTAAAACAAAATAATCCGAAAAGTAAATTACTAAACATGGCAATATAATCGTTAGGCGAATTTAATCTCTATCGACGCTGTAAACCTTCACGAAGTTACGAAATTGTTGGTCACCGATATTAAAAGTAGCATGTGTGCCTTGCATGCTCGGAACTGCTCTTAAAATCTTACGTACACTAAAATTTGAACTTTAACACTAACGTAATAAACCATCAATTTGCTGACACTGCTGTAGGAGGACATTTCTAATCTAACTGGCAAACGTTAAACGCGTTAAGACTTATTTGCATGTTGCGTCGGTGACAGCTTTCCCGTTCCACGTGATTAATGCGAAATTATTTACTGGTTTCAATTTGTGTTTCGAATTTCGAATTGATTTGATTTTCGAATTTTGTTGCGTGATCGATGTTGGACATGGATTTTCGATTCAGTTTTTTTTAATTTATGACTTTTATTTTTTTTTCTGATGTACAGAAAAGTTTATGCTCGTTTTCGTTAAAACAATATGGCGTTTTATTAAGAAAATGCGTTCGAAGTTGAAAAACATTACATCAATGATTATTTAATTAATATATTTAATTTGTTTTCCATTTGTGTCGAAACATTTAATTTGAACTCTTAAAAATGCGCAAGGGGCAACAGACTAGTTAAAATAAGAATCTCTTAATTTGCTACAATATCTCTAGAATCTCACACGTTAGCAACTTTCAAAAGAAAATAAAATTAATTTATGAATTGATCTCAATAATGTTCACGAGTTTTCTTGAAACCACTAAAACAGAGGTGTTGGCACTTCTCAAAGAACTTTCTTTAGATAATATTATTTTCTTACGCAGTAAAGATTTTAATCAGAGTAAGTAACTGTGAGTCAAAGTTCAATGATGTTTAGTATTACATTGTTCGTTTAAAGTTTATTAGAATAAACAAGAATGTTCTAACAAAATTCTGAAAGGTTTTGTTCTTCAAATTGATAAACGTGTTCATGTTCAATTTATTTGTTCTTAATTTTTGTGTAAAATTAATGCAATTTAATTTACAATTATTTTTATCAGTGAATAATAAACTTGTGATTTTTATATAATTATGATTAAATAGTATATTTGAAATTTCACACACACACATCTGTTATAAAAAAACAACGCTCACAGGATACGTACCGTAACGTACGTTAAAACGGATTTATCTTACGGAAAAATTAAAACAATTAAACACGTATCTCCTACCATAGCTACGACCTTAAAAGCCAGAACCTGTATAACGCTCCGGCATGGCAGAAATACTCATATAAAATAATGCCCAAGTGTTCAGTAACTCCAGTAATTGTTCCAACGACCCGCCTGCACTTCAAGATACGCCAATCTCAAATGCAGGCAGCGTACGAGGGTTAAATGTCATAGAACATTTAGCTGACTTTGCTAGGAATGAAAATAGGGACGTGTGTATTCAAATGAATTCCTAAATTTTCATCTAATTTTGTATTATAATTCTTGTATTTTTAGGTTTTTACTTACAGTTGGTAGGTGCAAGTGACACCTGTTTTTTAAAAAGCACTTCAAAGAGACAATATTGCGACATAAGTTACTACAAGAAAAGTCTAAATTCTGACCATATTGTTATTGTAATTAAATGTCAACAAAAATTATAACTTATCTCTATTTTATATAATACTAGCTATTGCTCGCGACTTCGTCCGCGTAGAATAAAAGGTTGTTCCAATTTTCCAAAATAAAAGTATCCTCTGTTACTTTTTAGTACATTATACCTACGTTCCAATAAAAGTCTTGCAAAATTGATCCACCCATTCCAGAGATTAACCAGTACAAATAAATAGACAGACAGACAAAAATTAAAAAAAGAATTGATAGGTATGTGTATCGTATGTATATTCATTTGCATGTAGTAAACAGCTGTTATTTTAATATAAGAAACAAACACTCCAATTTTATTTATATGTATAGAAGACTAGCTGTGCCCACGGCTTTGTCCGCGTGGAATAATGATTCACAACTCCTCCCCCGTAGGTGATGGCACATATTATGTAGCCTATATGTTGACTCGATCTGTTAGTAATATTCATACAAAATTTTAAGTAAATCCATGTAGTACTTTTTGAGTTTAGTCCGGACATATATACAGACAAACAGACAAAAATACTAAAATAAAACATATTTTTAGCTTTGGTATCGCTTGAAGATCATACCCCAAGCATTCTTTTTAGGGGCGATGCCGATTCAGAGTCGGGGGGAACCTAACGGGTAACCGGGGCTCCGACTCGACGTGCAGGTGAAGGAACGGGGTGGTTTTTAGTCAGTAAGAGTCTGACACTTTCTCCCGCCTCACCCAGGCGGGAGCAGTCATTCGATGATTTTCCCCCCTTAAAAAAAAGCATTATTTTAAAAAAAATAATCAATGTACAGTTTTCACTCTCTTAAGACTTTATTATATGTATAGATGTATAATAGATGTAACAAAATCCCTTCAATATAAAAACCTCTAAACTATAAGCATAATACTTATAAAAATTTAAAGTCCAGAATGTAGCACTTACAATTGGCATAACAATAAAAGATGATTATAGTTTCACAGTAGTTCTAGCTCCAAGTATGAAATTAGAAGTGTTGAGTCGGCAAACAAGTTGGAGATTAAACGGTGCAAGAAGTTATGCGGAGTAGTTGAAAGCCAGTGCAAGGAAAACATGATTAATCCACAACTTCTATACTGTTGTAGCAAAAACAGTAGTGTACATTAAATTGTTATTATCTAGCAAATGAAGTGGATTTTGTTGAAATGTAGACTTCAACATAACATAACATCCCGTCTTTTATCCCCGAAGGAGTAATACAATGTAACACCCACTTTTCAGTATTTATGTTATGAGTCCCATGTAATTGGGGGTCAGCCTATGGGTGTGGACTTATAAATTTGTTAATGGTGATTGTGTAAACCGTAATGGTTTATTTATATTTTTTATGGAGACTGCATTGTTGGCCGAGTGGTCGCAAGTGCGACTGCCGGTTAAGGAGTCTCGGGTTCGTCTACCAGGTCGGGCAAAGTACAACAGGGTTTCTTTTTTAAATCTCAGTAGTAGCATGGAATATGGAATTGCGCCCGGTATATACCAATAGGCTCACCCCCTATAACATGGGACTCATAACATAAATAGTGAAAAGTGGGTGTTACATTGTAAAATGGCATTAATTTCCGTAATGTGCACCTCTGCTTATAAAAGGGCATAAAAGGCGTGATGTTATATAATGTTTAAAATGTTATATAAAGTGTATTAATAAGTACATTTACATAAGTAAAACTGAGTGATTGTCACTCACGGCCAACAAGGACAGAAGAACAAAGACCTTATCAAACAAAATATAAAATTAAACGTACTCCGACTTCTTCTACTAGGTATTTGATGTAATTTATCGGCTTTGTACTTTATTTAATCTCTTAGGAAGGTATTGAAAACAACTGCGTAGTTCTAATGTCAAAAATGTTGTAAACAATTACAGTTTTTATTCTATTCTGTAACCTGATGTCAATGACATTCAATATTCCTATTTTGTTGATCAATATTAAGATAGTCTCGAAAAGTATTTGAAGCTAATATCGACCTTAATAAACTAATGCAATATACACAAACTAATTCAGTATAACCTGTGTTAACCTACGCGTTTCCTTCTGCGGTTTCCTACCACTGTTGGTCTAAACTCTGTGGCCATAAGACCCAAGTTTACAACTGCATAGTCTCTATATAATTCATTCAAAACTTGGTGTTAATAGTTCAGAGTAAAATCGACTTAATCCTTATACTCCACGGTTATCGTATGTGGATGCGTCGAGTTTGCTCCTAATTGCAAATTCGGGAATTGCATGCATTCCGCCTCTGTAGCATATAATAGACCGTTTAGAAGCACTAGATAGAATTAGAACTAAATTCATGGACTTAACTCCTGAACTAAGTGCTGGATTAGCACGGAATCTGATGTTTTATGGGTGTTCAAATGAAGTTAGTTAGTTTAGTTGTTGATCAGTAATGGTAGTAGTTATGATTTGTTAATGAATTTTATATTAATTTATAGGTTATATCATTAAAAATATAAAAGACTGCCTCTTTGGTCGAGTGATCGCAAGTGCGACTGTCGGGCAAAGGGTCTCGGGTTCGATTCCCGGGTCGGGCAAAGTATTACTGGGTTTTAAAAAATTCTCAGTAGTAGCACGGAGTCTGGAATTGTGCCCGGTATATGGCAATAGGCTCACCCCCTGTTACATGGGACTCATAACATAAATAGTGAAAAGTGGGTGTTACATTATACATAATGTGCACTTCTGCCTACCCCTTCGGGGATAAAAGGCGTGTTATAAAAATATAATAGACTAAGCTACTGCTGCACGGTTTTACCCGTTCTGCTCGGCTCCTATTGGTCGTAGTGTGATATTTTATAGCTTTTCTCGATAAATTGATTATCCAACATATACCTCTAAATAGTTATTCAAATCGGAAAAAATTCAAATCAAATAATTCGTTCCTGAGATTAAAGCGTTCAAATAAACAAATATCTTCGGCTTTAGCTGCAGATAATTAAGATATAATATCTTATACTATTATATATATAGCTAAAGTTGATACTGCTTATCTTATAAGATACTAGCTTCTGCCCGCGACTTCGTACGCGCAATCCCGATATTTCCCGTAGCCGTTCTTGATTTTCGGTTAAAAGTAAAAATTAAGTATTGGGTAAAAAGTATCCTATGTCCGGCTCCTGGTTCTAAGCTACGGCCCCACCAATTTTCATACAAATCGATATAGCCGTTCTTGAGTTATAAATAGTGTAACTAACACGACTTTCTTTTATATATATAGATAACGTGTTGTGAATAAAAATCTAAGAAAGTAATAATAGGGATGATGACGGACGTTAAAATAAAAATTAGTTATCTACCCTATTGAAACTAGTTGTTGATTTAAGTAGTAACTAGTTATTAAAATAGTAAAGAGTCCCTTAATTAAAAAGTAAAAATACATAAAAGTATGTTGATTATTGGATCAGATGAAATGACAGAATCACAGTATTTCAATAAAGAGGGATGGGCTCAATTTTCTATAGCAAATAATGTTATTCGAATTTCCTCATTTTTAAAAGCTACAGTTATGTTTCAATGGAAATACGACTCAAATTTAAGTGAATATAAAGAAAATAAAGTGAATACTAACGTAGGATGTAGAGATAATAAAAACTTTGTTGATATATTATTCATAATACGTGGGTGACTGGTAATAATGGATTCCGTCTTCTGGAAACTTCATATATGGGTGACAAATAGATAAATAGAAAAAAAAATATTACTTAATTGTGAGAAAGAACTTTATATAAAACAATCTTAATTTTAAATTCGGTCGAGAATGTTTCGATCACATTGTATTTTTTTTTTCAATAAGTAAGGAAATTATTTTCTCCTCTTTTATGTATGTACCAGTATTGGTAAGCAACAAAAATAACCAAAAGATCGTTTTCCAACATTTTTTTTTGGTACAATCCGGTAACTGAGTAAACGGATCACCCGATGGTAAGAAATGGGCGTCGCCCATGGACACCTAGGGCGTTACCGGCCTTTTGGGTATTAGAAATTAGAGATTTTTTTGGGATTCAGGGGTTGGAGAGATTGGGGAAGGTAGGGAGGGGTAATTTTTCTGTAATAGAAATAAATAAATAAATAAAAAAATAAATAAATTAGACCTCCGGTAACCTCACTTACACAACGAAACCTAACGTAAGCGTTGTTTCATGTCAGATTCCTATAAGGCCGTGATATCACTCTGGTCGAGCCGGTCCATTCGTACCAAAGCATGGCCTCCCACAAAAAAAATATTTCATCATAATATCTCGAAATTGCACTTCCTATTATTGAAGACGTGTCACATCGTGGTGGCCCAAAGATTTAAAACCTACCAACGGCTAGTACCAATGTGTCTTTTTCGAGTTATATGTATTTTCTAAGATTATCTAGACATCACTGACAAACGGTGAAGGAGAACATCGTGAGGAAACCTGGACTTATAATTTTTAATTATAAGTTTGAAATCGCCAACCCGCATTGAGCAAGCGAGGTGATTAATGCTCAAACCTTCTCCGTGTGGGAAGAGGCTTTGCTCAGCAGTGGGCATTTATAGGCTGTTGATGATGATAATGATTATTGAAGACAATTCTTTCCTATAACTAATAATAGTACAAAATAGTATTAACTGAAATAAAATATCCGACTAAAAGTTACAGGCACTCTATTCTTTTTATTTATAAATTATTCTTTTAGTACTACTAAGAGCTAGTAAGCCATTTTCTTCCTTTTATATAACGTAAAGAGTTTCCTCGTATCACATTTTATTTCTAGCCTTATGACTTCTATTACGCTGTCGTATTTTCAAGGCTTACAAATAAAATGCATTTCATTTTCAATTCTATGGAATAGAGAATGTAGACACTAATAATGTCGACAGCTCCTAAGTATATTAAGTCAACTATATAATACTTCTAATTAATTTACAGGAAGGCGATAAGAAGATCAAATATTTAAATTTAAGTTGTTAATACTACCAAGAAAAAATATCTAATTATAGTGCATTAAATATAATGAAGCCTCTCATCCTGTGCACAATAAACTTTATTTTATTTTATAAATTATGAGATAGTGTAGATAGACTTACTAGTCTCATAGATAATCTAGATAGTCATATACTTATGGCGTTGTTATTTAGTTTCTTAAAAATGGATCAAGTACTACTTGCATTATTATACGTCGCATTATTGAAAATAAATGTTTACAAGTTTGGCCTAAAATATATTTATTTACTAGTTTGATTCTTTATATGTTACATTATTATACGCATTGAAGTAAATTTAATTTTGAATTTATATTGCCTGTCATGGAATTTACATTATTTTATGCATTAAAGTAAATTTGAATTTTGAATTTATATTGTCTGTCGTGGAATTTTGAGGTCATAATTATCACATTTTATAAACTAAATTAATGATTTTTCAAGACATAGTACTCATCACTCACACAAAAAGTGTAAGTTTTTATATTTGTTATTTGTTTCAGTATACTTAAGAGCCATCGATGTGATTACTTATGTCGTTAATAGACATTTTTATAGTACTTATGTTACAATATCGTTATTTATTTACCTACTGTAATGACGAATATAAAACAATTCAGTTTAAGCAAATATCTATTCGTGAAGGTAGCATTTTTGCCTGCAGTTGTTGACATGAAACGCTCAACATTATTCCTGTTGACTACAACATCGAATTATGAATTTTATTTTCAACAGGTCAAGGTACAACTTAACTGACTTTTGAAGTTAACTTGAGAAAATTAACATGTTATCTCCTTACCTTCCCTCGATGCGTCCAATTAATAGTGTTAGGCGGTTCTGGAGTATGTCTGACAATACATGTCAGGTTTATTGTAGACCCGGCGTAAATGAACAGGTCTGGACCTCCCATGATCTCTGTCTCGGGTTCTGTGGACAATGGTTACATGAGAATACATTGTTGAATACACATGTTTAATGAATAGAGGTTTAAGTTCTAAACCATTGTCTACTTGGATATAGTAACATAACATAACATCACGCCTTTTATCCACGAAGGGGTAGGCAGAGGTGCACATTACGGCACTTAATGCCACTATACCTCTACAATGTAACACCCACTTTTCACTATTTATGTTATGAGTCCCATGTAATAGGGGGTGCGCCTATTGCCATATACCGGGTACATTTCCAGACTCGTGCTACTACTGAGATTTTTAAAAACTCAGTAATACTTTGCGCGACCCGGGAATCGAACCCGAGACCCCTTATCCGGCAGTCGCACTTGCGACCACTCGGCCAACGAGGCAGTCGTTGGATATAGTATTACATTGTTTTGACATTCTACTCTTGCTGCACAATGTTGGTAGTTAGCTAGCTTCTGCCCATGACTTTGTACGCAGAATTCTGTATTTTCCTGGTCCCGTAGGATTTACGGGAAATCCTTAGTTTAAAAAGTATACTTTGTCCGTTTCCTGGTTCTAAGCTGCCTCACCACCAATACAATAAATTTCAGGCAAATTGATTAAGCTGTTCTTGAACTGTAAATAGTGTAACATAAACAACTTTTATTTTGTATATATAGATGTATATGTATAGCTTAAATTACCATTTAAAATTTTAAAACAAAAAACTCAACATGCTTTATAAAAATAATAGGCGATTATCGTAAAAACCCCAAAATTCTAAACTCCATGCTACAACTGAGGATATTGTTTTCAAAGCCAGGAGTTGGACTTAAGAAAGGACTCAGTATTTGGACTCAAACTGTTGTGATTCTTTCCTCAAAAGGCCACTACAGAAATAACTTGCACGGTTCTCACACATAATCTATTATACATATTGTCTGGACTATAAAAGAGACGGACCTCTGAGTTTGTTTCGGCATTTCTTCTCAGAGTAGTCAGTTAGGAAATGTCGACCTCATCGTTCGCTTGATAAAATCGACGTGTAAAAGTGCTGCCTTGTAGCCTATTTGCAGAAATAAATTCACTTGTTTCACTTGTCACTTATTTCACTTGGACTACCACCGCAATTGCTCTCCAAAACTACTAAAGATTTTACAAAGAAAACTATTTCACAGAATCTTACACAATTGAAAATGTATGTCCTCCAATAACTAATCCAAACTTTAATCCCGCAAACGAAGTAGGAAGACTGTCAGCAGAAAATAAAACAGTTTTCACGTCGTATCTCTAGTTACTAAGCTTCTAAAATATCCTCTGTAACTCGGTACTGTACACACGGCCACACATCAATCTATACAAAACCAGTTTATTCTGGTGTCGCGTCGCATCATCTTTCCGCACATTTAACGTTCAGTTTATACTGGTTATGTAAAGCTCGATGTGTAGCCGTATGTACCTGTCTTATTCCCTAAACAAATAAAACTAAGACTATTCTCAAAAGTTCACAGAGAATGCAACTAAGTTTACAGATAAATTTTATTTTAGAAATACATGGTTTCTGGTGTTTGAATTTTATTCTAGGTGAGTTTGCAAATTGACAATATTGTGTTTTATATTTATTTTAAAGTGTTACCTATATTTTTAACCAAATTCAAAAAATTCACGTTCTCGGTTCGACCTACATATATGTATGTTTGTACCGATTTTAATGCGGTTTCCGGAAAAGTGTTCATTTTAGTATATATATTAATTAACCGACTTCAATAAAAGAGTGGGTTGGTGTCGGTTTTATTAAACTTAGTTTGCAAAAGAATTATCAAAATGTTAATAAATTTTGGTTGTTACTGCCTTACTTGGACACATCGACTGTTAGTGAGAACACTACTTATCTGATATGGTAAGCTCAGTTTCCTTTGGCGTACCCTAAAATAAAATGTCTTAAGCCGCACACACACAATTTGTTATCTTAACGACTGCACGGTTAGCGAGGTGGCTGGGCAACCGGCTGCCGCGCAACATGTAGCGGGTTCGATTCCCGTACGGAGCAACTCTTGTGTAATCCACAAATTGTTGTTTCAGGTCTGGGTGTCATGTGTATGTGAACTTGTATGTTTGTAAGCGTACCCACGACACAGGAGATAATCCTAGTGTGGGGCAACGTTTAAAAAAAAAGAAAAAAAATTGAGTCTTGAGTAACAAATTCCAAAATAGAATCATTCGAACACTATATATGTATATACTAAACTATATAAGACGTCACACATAAAAAAGCAATAACAGTGACGGGTGTAGTCTAACCCTTAACAAAAAATAGTTGCTATTAAATCTTGCTTCATTACTTCGAAGAAAATTTTGACATTTTACGAGACATCTGTTCCTTAACATAAAGGTTCCATTACACATCAGGCAGAAAGGCAAAAAGGACATTTTTCTAGTAACAACTCAGAACCTTTTCTTTACAAACCCTTTGAAGGAATTATGAAGGCGTGAATGGTACCCATTGTAGCAAGCACGTCTAGATTATTTTTACGGCTTCAAGTTAAAGGTAAGTAAGGCAGTCAAGGTTACTGTATCATGATGTAAAAACCGGTAAATTGAGATTTGAGAATGAATAGAGGGAACTTTCAAAGGAATATTATCAATAATGAACGTAGGGATTTGATGCGGTTATTTTTAGATTTTTATTATGAGACTATTGTTGAACCTTAGAGAATATAGTTCAAATTCTAATGGACAATTTTATTCTTTAAGGTTTTTTCTTAAGTACTTTTTGTCAACTTGAGTATAATTAAAATTTTAAAACATTTAGACCTGAAATAATGCGCAACTTTTCAATAAAAATCTATTGATATATCATATAACATATAACATCACGTTATGGCATATCATCACGGCTTTTATTCCCGAGAGGGTAGGCAGAGGTGCACATTACGGCACTTAATGCCACTGTACACTGTAACACACTTTTTTACTATTTATGTTATGTGTCTCGTCTAATAGGAGGGTGACTCTATTGCCATATACCGGGCACACTTCCACACGCGTACTACTACTGAGAATATTTTTAAAACCCAGTATATAATACTTTGCCCGACCCAGGAATGGAACCCGAGACCCCTTGCCCAACCATTCGGCCAATGAGGCAGTTCTCGGTGTATCGTTAATTTGTAATTAGAATTTTGATTTTAACATTAATTAAAATAGAACACCCGATATCAATATTTGACATTTACAATTAAGCTGAAACACATCTTCGAAATTTTATACTATGCTTAGTAACAATAAATAAACAGAAACACGAAATATAACACAAACCTTTCCACAAAATAAACTTTCGATAACCTAAAACAATATCGAGTCACCATTTTCCAACTAAGCGCAAACAAACAACGTTTCAACTTGAATATCGAATTAAATAATACTAAAGCGACAATGTGACAGAATAAACGTGTAAATTACGAGTTAATCTTTTAGATACGACACAGTAAAATTCATGGAAAGAGTAAAAAGAGCTTACTTGGATCTATACCTAAACAATAATATATTTTTTTAATATAAAAACTACGTTTAAAAAAACGACTTCGACAACCTCCTTTTTAAACGGTTTTATTTAGCTCACCCCGTTTGTTTTATTATTTAAAGTCAGTCAATTAATAATCTGCTCTTTAATGTAATAAATACTTTTCTGAAAACCGCATCAAAATCGATTCAACCAATAGCGAGATAATTGCGCACTAACACACAGGTGATACTGAGAACCTCCTTTATTTTGTTTTCGAATTTGGTTAAAAAAGGCATCAATGGACCTAAAATATCAGATATTCAAGCTGTAAACTGATGTAAATCAGCATAATTTAACTCAATCGTGTTATCCTTTGAAATCTACATACCATGTATAAGCTTCAAATAAAAATTACGATTGGTGCAAAGATACGAATATTTTTGTGTGACCAAAATAAAATCCTATCCTTTCTTTTTTAAGCTTACGTCCCATCTATATCCGCGATAAACCGTGACATCGGGCTATTTGTGTCGAATTCAAGTTTAAAGCCAAGAAATTCTCCAATTCACAGACGTCTATTGGCTGCAAAAATATTTTCTAGATCCTTGCGAAAAATATGGTACAATTCCGCAACTTGTTACAATCTTCGGACAGTTTCGAATGGCCCTGAATTTGGCGGTCGATTCCAAGTTTGAATGGACTTCATTCTCTGTAATTGGAACGTATCCAAATAGGAATGCATGCGGGTAAGTATTTTGAAACGACTGGAAGTGGGAATTAGTGTTCTAGTTATTCATGGCCGTGATTACGTTTTAGTGGACGAAAACAAGATGTTTAATACTCGTATGGGTTGTAAAGACTGCAAATCCTTGAGACTAAAGTTCTTGCTCGCTTTAGTATTCGCGTTAAAAAATATAACTTGTCACCTTTAATACTAAAGGGGAAAGTAGGTGATGGAAAAATGTGTCACCTACTTTTCAGTGGTTATTGCATGTGTTTTAAGTAACTGAGTAGTAGTAACTAAATGTAGAAAGTCAAAGCACATGTTTTCGATAGCCGTGCACAATACGATCAATCAAAAAGTCGTTCCAAAAAAACTCAATACAGTTATTATTAAGTGCTACAGTTCTGTGATGGGCGTCATTTTGCTGCTGACGGTAAATACGTCAACTGCGCTTACCCCCCGTTGATTGCTTGCTTCGGCAGTACATATATACCCCGTACTTGCTTCGGCAGTACATATACTAAAATTGGAACGATACAGAGAAGATTAGCATGGCCCCTGCGCAAGGATGACACGCAAAATCGTGAAGCGTTCCACATTTTTGATCACTGGGTGGCGGACCTGGACGGCTCGGTGACCATCATATCGTCGGCCGCCGCCGGTACCCCGACTCTTGAGGCTGCTCAAAGAGGTCGGGGTTGTGTCGCAGCACGGTTCGGAGAGCTCGCTGTGGTGGGCGTGTACTTCTCTCCGAACCGAACTCTCGCCGAGTTCCACAACTCCTTGATGGAGTTGGTCACCGTCGTCGTCGGGTTCCGTTCCCTCCCCGTGCTCGTCCTCGGGGACTTCAATGCCAAGAACTTGGCTTGGGGTTCCCGGTTCACCGACGTCCGGGGTAGGATGGTGGAAGACTGGGCCCTTGAGACAGGCCTAGTCGTCCTGAACCGGGGTTCTGTCCCCACGTGCGTGCGGATGCAGGGCGAGTCGGTGGTGGACATTTCGTTCGCCAGCCCTGCTCTGTCACCGCGTATCGTTGACTGGCGTGTCATGGAGGAGGTGGAGACGTACTCCGACCACCGGTATATCCGGTTCGACGTCTCCGCCGAGTCCGCAGACCCGCCGGTCAGACAGGCCCCATGTGGCCCGCGTTGGGCGCTGAAACAGCTGGACCGGGAGCTGCTCCTGGAAGCCGCCATCGTGCAGGCCTGGGTGATACCACCGGTCAGGCCTGCCGACAT